TTCACAAATTTATACAAGTGTTGTGGTCTTCTGTCTATGTTTCATCATTCATGTATTCACTCATTCAAAACTAAAAACCCAGACTATGCACTGGATACTATGCTGATGCCTGGGGACATGGAGATAAATAAGAAACAATCTCTGTGCTCATTCAATTCATAAACAACTAGGGCAGGAAAAATGTAATCAATTACTTACTAAACATTGTAGAAAATGCAGTGAAATATAAGGAAGAAGTAGGAGTAAGCAATGAGTTTCTGGGAGTGTTTAATCTTATCTGTTTTTTCCTCTAGAGGAAAGAATAAGGAATAATATATTCTAGGTAGCAAATACAACAGAAGATTTTCCCAGAAACATAAAACAACGTGCTTGTGGCATTCATAGTTCCCTGCTAAAGACGAGGGGAGAGAAGTTTTGAGCAATAAATAGGCTGGAGAGGATTTCAAGGATCATATTTTGAGGGGTATTTATAATGCAAGATACAAATGCAATATTATATTACTAAAGAAAAAAAATCAGATGTTTTATATCAATGCAGGGTCTTGCTTGTCCCTCCACCTTAGTAAGTACTTTACTGAATGCATGCTGTGTACAAAATGCCAGGTGTGAAACAAATACAAAGATGATGAAAAGCTGCATCTTAACACCAATGTTTGAAGGATCAGACATATTGTTACAGCAACAGGACATAAACATGTTTTTTAAATAAAAGCTGATTTGTAGCAATATATACATATCAGCAATGGAGAGTGAGATGACAAGATGGTGCATGACTAATTGTTAAGTAATCTTCAGGATGGGCCTCCCTGTGGTGCCGGGTTAAAGACAGTGCTAGCAAGCTGTGCCAGCCACTGCAGCAAGAGTTTGATCCCTGGCCAGTGAGCAACCCACATGGAACAGCAGACCTCTCCTGCCTTGCCCGCTGCTCCCCTCAGCAGTGTATTTCAGTAGATCTGCCAGTTCTGCTTCCCACTCTGTCTCTAGTGAATCCTCTCAACCCCTGCCCCCTGCATCTCTGGCCTGTACCCCAGTTCTTGTATGCATAAATAAATAAATCTTTAAAAAAAATAATCTTCAGGGCCTCCCCTAGTGGCGCAGCAGTTGAGCGCTGGACTGCGAAGCTGCCCGCAGCCTCTGAAGTGCCAGTTCGATCCCCGGCCACCGGCGAGGGTCCCACATGGCACGGCAGACCTCTCCTGTCACACCCGCTACTCCCCTCAGCAGTGTGTTTTGTCAGTCTGCCTCTTCCGTTCCCTGCTCTGGCTCTGGTGAATTCTCTCACCCTCCTGCGCTCTGACTGTACCCAGTGCTTGTATAAATAAATAAATAAATAAATCTTTAAAAAAAACAAAACAAAACAAAAAAATAATCTTCAGGGAAAATGTATGAAATAGATCTGAGGTTAATTATATAAACATGGATGATCGAGGGAAGTTGTATAGAGAAAATGAATTTAAAATGGACCCAGAAGGATGAGAAAGATAACAAAATGTGGAGTCTAAATGGATAGAAAGACTTGAAATCCAAATCTGAATTATAATACAGTGAATAATTATAACTGATTGAGAGGAGAGTTGACAGGGGTGCATGGTAACTGAGGCTGCAGGTCTGATATTGCAGATGGTAGATTTTCTTCAAACGTCAGCTGGAAGTACTGGACTTTGTCCCATCGGCAATACGGAGACGCTGAAGATACAAGTCAGGTAGTGGCATGGAGTTGGTCAGACTTCTACGGGCTGTTTGTGCCACATTTATTGTACAAAAGCCATCACATTTAATAATTCTTCAGTTATCTGGAACATTACTATGGCAAGATATCATATCTTTTAATGGGAATTCAGGAATGGGAGTTCACTGATAAGCAACTGAATTAGGAAGTTATCAAGAGGGAAAATTTTGGGTGAAAAGGATAGGAAGGTGAGTTTTGAGTGGCAGTGGTCCAAGATAAACCCTACTATATCAATTTCTTCAAAGGAAATACAATTAACACTCTGTAAATGGCATGCAGAAAAAAATGAAATGGTGCCTTTGTGTTTTTCCCCCAAAACTAGCAAGCTCTACATTACTTCAGTACCTTTCTACCACTAGTATGCACAGACCTATTTTTTTTTCTTTTCTTCATTTTCTCTTCATATTCATAATTCTGCCAAATCATCCCTTTCCCAGGAATCTCAGTAAATCTATTAAGTTTGATGGCACCAGATCATTTGGGGTTGGACCAAGTTCTATTGCTTCCTACTCCATGAGCTTGAATGAGTTACATAAACACTCTGTGCCTCAATTTGCTTATGTGAAAATGGGCAAATACCAGTAGTGATGTCTTAAATTTGAGAATCTACTGTGTTTTACACACATAAAGTACTTTGATCAGTTCCTATGCTTGCCTTCCCTGGGTTTACCAGGACAGAGCTAGCATCAGTGAAATGTTCCTGGTTTAGAATTTGCTTCTCACTCAGCCACACAGATTCTATATATGCCAGGTTGTCCTATAACCCTTTTCCTGAACATCCTTTAGCCCCTGGATGGCTCAGAGCTCCTATCCTTTCTCAAGTCTCATGGACTCCTTAATCAAACATTAGCATAATGTATTAGCATATCTACAGCACAATTATATTTTGATTACTCTAGTCCCAGTCAGACTAAAAGATGCCTTCAATCTAGATATAAATAATTTAGAATGTTTACACCAAGGGGAATTACAGAGGAGGGAAGTGAAGAAGGCAAGAGAATTTGTGTGTTTGGGGTTTGTTGGGTGTGGGGTAGTGATGGTTTGCCATTTTATATTATACCTCTTCTCTTCATAGGCGTATATCTATTCAAGAAACAGATACCAATTGGAGTTGCTGCAAATCCTTCCTTCCTTTTAATCACATTAAATATGTCCAATACAGTTTTGAGCTTCAGTTTCTCCCTTCTGGTCATATCCTTGAATAAATGCACCCTTCTATGATTCATCTTTGCAAGAATTTTCTTCCTTGTCTTGCTAATTTCCTTATATAGTATTGGTTACTCTTGTGGTTGTGCTACTTTATTGTCAATTTTGAAACCTGATTTCTCTTGATTAGTGTCCTTAGTAAGAGATTAAAGAAATCTTACTGTGTTTGACTCTAAAGAGGTTTCACATGCACACACACAAGCTCTCAAATACAAGTTTGCACAAGTGCATTGGATCAGCTAGAATGCAGGCATATCTGGGATAGGATCACAATCATTCAGAACTGTGAAGTTCAAGCTACCTTGGAGATTGATTCTGCTTTCAAGTGGCTGTGGATGATAAGATAAAAGAACTGATCTCTGTGGGGACTTGTAAGTAATGGCATTATTGGTTGTCCTCTGACAGCATGGATAGAAACTTAAGCACTGAAATGGAGATGATTTTGTAGTTCGATTTATAATGGATGACATATATATAAACTCATCCATGAAAATTGTTATGTCTGTACATCCCCAACCAGAATGACAACAGGCTGCTTTTTTTTTTTTTCTTTAAGGTTTATTTATGCACACAAGAAGTGGAGTACAGGCCAGAAGTGTGTGGTGGGGCGGTGAGAGGATTCACCAGAGACAGAGTGGGGAACAGACAGGTGGATTGACTGAAATACGCTGCTGAGGGAAGCAGTGGGTGAGTCAGGAGAGGTCTGCTGCACCATGTGGGTAGCTCCCTGGCTGGGGGATTGAACTCATGCTGCAGTGGTGGCAGATAGCTTCATAGGTTGAGTCTTATCCCCTTGTGCCACCAGGGAGGCCCCATAACAGGCTGCTTTTGAGAAGCAGACTTAAGTATTATTTTGTCGCTGATGGGAAGATACTCTTGATAATGACCGGAATGGTGTGGGAAGGCAGAAGAAGCAGAGAATGACATTATGAAATAACTGTTTTGATATGCTTTGGCATGGTCATTAGGTAACTTTGCCTGCAGTTTTTAATTGAAAACAGGTCCCTAGGCCTCAAGACTGGAAATCCTACATATCTAGGGTTGGAATTTCATCAGGTAATGCCCACATCCTGTGCAGATTTTGGTGGTTGGTTCTAGGTGGTATCAGAAAGACCTGAATTTCAGTCTTCTCTTGGCAAATTAATAGCTAGAAAAACTTACGCAGGACACATTCTCTCTGAGTCTCATTTTTCCTATCTTGTGGTCAGTGTATTCTAACCCATCTCCTCACTATGATAAGCAATCCAAGGTAGTGTATCTATTTCCTTTTTGTCATCAATTCCTTGCATAGTAGCAATCAGAGGGTAGGAACCTAGTTAGTTGTATAGAATGAATGAAGAAATCAGGGCGTGAATATGACTATCTGCAGGAAGGAATATAGATTTTCCTTGACTTACATTGGGGTTATGAACCAATAAGCACATCTTAAGTTGAAAGATAAAAAGTCAATAAAAACATTTCACACACCTAACTTGCTAAACTTCATAGCTTAACTTCCTACTCCTTATCTATTTAGTTTTTAAATTTATTTATTTATTTATTTTTGCATAGAAGAACTGGGGTGTAGGCCAGAGATGCGGGGAGTGAGAGGATTCACCAGAGAAAGAGTAGGGAGCAGAACAGACAGATCTACTGAAACACATTGTTAAGGGGAGCAGCAGGCGAGACAGGAGAGGTCTGCTGTGCCATTTGTGGGTTAGCTCCCTGGCCGGGTATCAAACTCAGGCTGCTGTAGAGGGCCATCACAGTGGTAGTGCTGTGCTGAGACTTAACCCCTGAGCCACAAAGGAGGACTCAATTCCTCCGTGAATGGACTGAGAACACTTATATCACCCAGAGTTGGGAAAAATCATTTAACAAAAATCCTATTTTACAATAAAATATTGACTGTTCCATGTAATTTATTAAAGCAGAGAGGTCATTTCTCTATGGTTGGTGGTTAACTGGAAGCTGCTGGTTAGTTGGGAAAACATCAACATTCAAGGAGCAGTTTATATCCTTTCCACACCACTAAGAAGTTGGAAAATTGCAAGTCAAACCATCATAAATCAGAGACCACCTGCATGTAAATATCACACACATTATTGTATTAAATGAAGTAATTATTTACAATACTTCTGATGTATAATGGGGATTAAAAGATGTTTCCCTTCTGCCTTTCCTATTTTCATTTTTCACAATCCAGTGTGCTCATTGTTTTGTTGTTGTTTTCCTCTTCTTTTGCCTCCCTTTTCCTTTTCTAAAAGGAGAAATAGGTTCTGAGACCTTATTCCTCCCATTATCTGTTTCACTTGCATCCACCCACAGCGGGTCACCTAACAGATGTTATTAGCTCACCTATGCTTACAAACTCTCTTCCAGGCTTAAATCCTTTCTGTTTTCCTAAAGAGAATGCTTCTTTTTCTTAGAAATGTTGAAACAACCTAAAACGAGAAATACCGGTTTTTGAAAGTATGAAACAGTAAAGCATTTTAAGTATACTTGTGTATTTTGATTATTAGTGTTCACCTGTGCCCTCATAAATGCAGAGAAGTGAGGCATCTTTGCATTATTCTCTTGTCGGAATCTCAGCCCCCTTTTCTCCCTCTCTTTTGATTAGGTATCCCCTTCTTTTGGAAGTCTCCTCACATTTGGTTAATACATCTCAACAACTCCTTTAATAAGAGTGCTTGTTGTTAGCATTCAAGGATGTGTAGGAGTTGACAAAATTCTACCTTACAATCTTTTCAGAGCTTGAAAACACACACTACTTCACCAAGACTTAGCATCTACCCCTCTTTACCCCAACTGGTGGGAAAGATTGAGGGGAAAGGAATGGCTATTAATTTAACAGACAGTTTGATTTGTTTGTGCTTTTGTGTTTCTAGTCTCCTTTTCCTTGTGAAAAAGCTAGAGGCAGGCAAAGAAATTTGGGAAATAGACAGTGTTTCAATCTGCCTCAAAGAAGAGTGGGAGAAGACAGCCTCCTTTTGAAATAGCATAAAGCCTCAATTGCAAGATCATCATGGGACAGGGATATTTCTGCAGGCCTGGAAATCTCAGCCAGGCATATAGAAACAGTCCCAGGGGAGGCGTCTCACCCAGAGGAGGCTTCTCATGGGACAGGTATTACCTGGCACCCATTCTGACTTCGGAAGAGCTCTGCTGTATTTCCTTTGGGGGCACATCTTAAGGGGCTGGTGGAAGCAGGGATAGAGCTAGGAATGTCTTTCTTTCAAAGAGCTAATGTAGATCATTCATCTAGAACTCCCATCATGCATTTGTTGCCCAGGGTGCCAGAATCATCCAAAGTTCCTTATCCTTTGAGGTCACAGTGTGGGTACCACACAGACCTGCCATCCTCATTGGTGCTACTCACTGACTATTTGGGCTCTCTGAACCCCAAGCACTTCCTTGGGTAGGAAGTATTTCCTCTCATGAAGAGAGAGCATGTGACTAGCTCTGGCTGTTAACAGACAAATAGAAGCGACCTGTATCACCTGGTGGGTGGGTTTATGCATTTTATTTCCAGAGTGGACACTTTAGAGTTCTCTTTCCCTCTGTCATGACAGTCTGGTATTTGGACTGGTTTGTGTAAGCAGATGGAAAGTCATCACTCCCCACCCCGACCCCCATTCTCTTGCCTGCTGACTGTGTTGAACATCTAATGTGGGAGAAAAACTTTTGGTATTTTAAACTGCCCTGACTTTCCCATTGTTTGTTATTTCAGCATAATTTATCCTATCTGACTGTTATAGAATCTGTTTCAATGCAAATAAATAATCAAGAATCAAAGTCTGACTCTCCAGAAGATGCATTTATTTTTGAGGCTCAGAAGTCTGCAAGCAGTTTGGTGAAATAGAAATAAGGGGAAAGTGGTTATTCACACTAGGATGGCTTATGAGCACAGATAAGATGGGTCCTGGGGCCTCACTGGTGGCGCAAGGGGTTAAGACACAATCTGTGAAGCTGTCCACAGCCACTGCAGCAGGAGATCTATCCCCAACCAGGTAGGTGACCCACATGGCACAACTGAACTCTCCTGTGTCGCCCGCTGCTCCCCTCAGCAGTGTATTTCAGTCAATCTGCCTGTTCTGTTCCTTACTCTGTCTCTGGTGAATCCCTTCTCCCCCAGCACCTCTGGCCTGTACCCCAGTGCTTGTATGTATAAATAAATCCTAATAAAAATAAATGGGCCCTGGATACCAGGCTGTGAGTAGAACAGGGCCATCAGCGAGTCAGGAGGGCACAGCTTCTGCTAAATATGAACATGTGACTTAGGCTCTGGCACCAGCTAAGGGCTTAATGAATAGGCCCAAGATGGGAGGTCTGCAGGCAAGTCTTTCTGATGCCAACTGTTATAGCAGTCCTTTTTCCTTTGCTTTATTCATGCAAAGAATGTGTATCTGGTGGGAAAATCAAGTCATATCATGACTACTTCTGAGAAGTTTACTATATAAGGAAGTTTATATTGAATCCTTTTGTGAAGGAAAAATACTGTACCTGATTTGCTTTTGCTCTATAAAAAGTGTGTCCAGGGGGGAGGAAAAAGGAGGGGGTTCTGAATTTGATGCATTTTATAACACATAATATCAAACATAGCGTCTGAAAGAGTTGACATTTAAACCTAAGTTAGCTAAACACATAACATTGTCAAGGGTAGGGGTGAGGTGTGGGGTACAAACTGAGGGACAAATAAATATGAACCTTTACCCTAAAAGTTTCTATAACTTGAGAGGGTAGATACAGGGTTGCTGGTAGGCATAACCCGGGGAAGTGTTTGCACATAAAAAAAGGAAAGATTTTGGGGAGTAGAAAGTATTGAGTAGACTGAATCCAGATTTAGAAAAGCTGTAGTGCTAGAAGGAGGAGATTGGGGAAAGTCCACCCATCTGTCTGTCAAGGCCTTGGTGAGAAGAGTCCGTGGAAGCACAATTGAATGTACCATGTGTGAATAAATAGGGCATGGGGTTAGACAAGTTCCCCTTTGCCCCACCATATGGAATCATGCCAGAATAGACAGATCACGGGCTATATTCTAAGATACGCAGGAGATTAAATTCTAGCTCTCCTACTTGCCATTTACTGGATGCATCTCTTTGGGCAACCTTTGTATATTTTAAACTCTTATTATCATTATTTTGATCTTTCTGAGCCTCAGTTTTCTGTCTATATTTAGAATATCAATAATCCCTCCTTGAAGGACTGTTATACAGATCAAAAGCCCACAAATGTCAAGTACTTCATACTACAGATAGGACTCAGGGAATTAAAACCATCAATACTTGACTGTATATTTTCCCTGAAGATCCTGGATATACAGTCTTAGCAGAGTGTCGAGTCCATGGGAAGACTCTTGTAAATATTTACTGAGAAATGAACCACCCAAGTCACCCAGGGAGTGTGGAGAATGAAACTAGAGGTGGCAGGTAATGAGCCCTTCTCTGTGGATCATGTGCCTTTCTCCCCAACATTACAAATGCCCATCATCTCACCCTAAAACATGTCTCTTTTGTAGACTCCACTCTGCTCAGAAAGATTAAAACCATTTTCAGCGATTCCACGTTCTTTTTAATCCTTTCTGTCTTGCCACGTCGGTTTTTCTGACCATTTGATTTCCACAACTCAAAGAGCTCTCCTTGTCTGTCCTTTCCTTTCTTTCTTTCCTTGTTTTTTTTTTTTTTTTTTTTTTTTTTTTTTCCTGTTGTCAGTGCCCTAGGAGTTTCTTTTCCCTTTTTAATTAAGAGCGAATGAAGGTAACAAAGTGTTTTATAACTGGAGAGAATTCAGCAGCAGGACACCAAGGTGGGACTCCACATGGTGAAAGCTGGGCGGACAGACCCCACATCAGCACGGTGGGGAAGGGGCCCGCGCTACTCTGCGCCCTGCTGTCTTATGGCCCAGCCCTCCCTCTGCCCATCAGCCTGGATGCTTTACCTCTGGCAGAAGTCCCCTGTCTTTTGTTAGGAAAAGCTGCAATTGGAAGCTTGTTTTTAAAAGCATTTTTAAGCACACAGTGTGCTCTCCTGAAATACGCCTGTGCCTGCAAGGGTCTTGCAAGTTAATTCCTGCTGCCCAGGGAAGTGTCCTAATTTTTCCTGACTTTCAGTGACCTACTCCTCACTGTGTACTTGGCTGTCTTTATACACAGGTACAGTTTGGGCTTGGAACAGCAAATCCCATGGAAGTGTCTGTCAGATGTATATGCATGTACTGAGGTAAAGCAAAGAGAGAGTGTGCACACAGGGAGGCAGAAAGAGCAGAAAGACCCCTCCCTGCATCGCCATGGTGCCCATTCCGTGTGGCCCCCATGCTCCCTAGGTATCTGGTTTGGGGAGGATGGAGAGCAAACACCCAGTGACGTCTTTGGAGCCCTGGATCTGAGGAATTGCTTCCTGAGCTATGTTTTGCACACTGCATTTGGATGATGGCATTATGAGTTTCCTAATGAGGAAAACATGCTTTTATTAAATTCCCGGCCCAAATGGCCTCCCTGTTGCCCTCTTTCTTTTTCATGAGACATGATGGCTTATTACAATTGTGATTAAAAAAATCCGTCATTGGTGTGTTTTGCCTTTTCAATTTTGTTGAAAGGTGATTGTGATGCCATTTCTCAGAGGAGCAGAGGGATAGAGAAGAGAGGCCTATTTTGGAATTTAAGGAACTCACTCTGCAAGACGGTGGACCCTTTTGCCTGTGTTCACTGCTAAATGTGTAGCTCAACTGGCCTCAGACAGTCACTGACTGCCCCCCCCACCCCCCATCCGCACTGTGCTAATCCTGCAGTTGTGAAGAAAAGGGACAAGCCCGTGTCTTACGTCAGTGACCAGATTGTAGCCGTCCACACACATAACTGGAATGTTTAGAAAATCCAAATGCTTATCCCTACCATGGCCTTCACACACCTGATCACCTTTTTTGCTTCATGTTAGCTTTGTACTTAATATCTATTTGACTATAAATGTTTTAGAAATGACTTTTTTCTCTTAGCACATATTGAACACAAAACTGAACATTTGAAATTCAACTGATGTGTGATTAGCCCCACACGCGCAGTTCGGCTGTTACTGGGCTACCAAAGAGGACAAGGGTAGGTATTTTGTCTCTCTGTGGTTAGACCATCCACTTAAGGATCAAGATCTCAAATTACAGGATGACTGAAGTACTACAAAGGTCAGTTCTCTTTAGTATCCCCTAATGCTTTTCGCAATGGCTCATATGCAGACCTCCTAACTGTCTTCATTTCCAGTCTCCAGTCTCCCATCTGTTCTGTATTCTCTCATCCGTGTCTTTGTGCTAAAAGAATGCCTTGATCAGGTCTATTCTCTCCTTGAACCAACTTCAATGAATGTTGCCTTCAATGGCTCTTCCTGCCTTATGCTTGTATTTGAGGTTCTCTATCAAGTTACCCATGACTTCTTTTTGTCTTATCTTCCACTGGACTCCCATATGAACTGTTCATGGCAACTGATTTGTACAACTGTCACTGAAGGGCCTCTTATACTTCCTCCAGCTTTGACACTTTGCCAGTGCCTTTCAATCTCCCTGTAAGACTTTTCCATCATTTATTTTTTTCTATCAAAATTGGACAGCTTTCTCAAGGCACAGTTATATTATCTCTCTTAAGAATTCCCTGTTGTATCATTTATTTGATGCCAACTGACTCAGGGTGTATCCTCACTTCTTAGTTAAAACTTATTAGACTTCTCTTAGTCTCACTTACTTGTCTATGATAATCTCTAAGCTTTCTGAACCTTAATTCTTTTTTTTTTTTTTGCATAGAACTGGGGTGCAAAGAAAAGGCATAGGTGAGAGGGTGTATGAGAGGATTCACCAGAGACAGGGTGGGCAGATCTACTGAAATACACTGCTAAGGGTGAGACAGGAGAGGTCTGTTGCGCCCATGTGTAGGTTAGCTCCCTGGCCAGGGATCAAACTCAGGCTGTTGGTGTGGGCCTTTGCCATGGTGGCACTGAGACTTAACCCCTAGGCCACCAGGGAGGCCCTCTAAATCTTGATTGTATCATCAAAAGTGACCTACTACATATAGATCTCTGGAAGGGATCTGCCACTGTGTATAATCTCTGGAAGGGAGTTGTTTGTATAAATGCCTAATTATAAGCCTCAGCGAGCATGGGGTCATTTCTTATACAATATGATTGCCATCCTTCATAGCAATTAGTTCCATGATTGGTAAAATGTATTCCATAAGTATGTGGAGTACTAGATGAAACAACTTCTAGTGAATTCTCTGTTTTATGATGAGTTTGTAATTTGAAAAAAAAATAAAATGAGAATACC